ACAGACTGCAGGTGTCCCCAGCCTTACAAACAGGTCTTAATCAGCGGTTGTTGATCAGTGATCATGAGAATTTGCATAATCATGATGAACTGACCTCCCAGCCCATTGTTCCTTCAGTGCTGCTGGTTTCAGTCATTATGCAAATGTCCTGTTTATAAGATTGAGACCTGCAGCTGAGACTGAAGACGTCACCTGATGATGACGTCTTCAGCATCCAGATGAACAGAATGAACTTTTGGTGCGTTACGCTTCCTTACAACATGAAAAATCTCTCTGACCCATGAAAGTGAAACCTTGTACACTGAAGCTCCCATCAGACTGGTTCCAGTAGCTTGCATTAAAACACAGTAATGTACAGTTCCGTGTTTCCCTTTGTTACCAGTGAGCAGGCTGTTAAAGTGAGCATCTGTTTTTGCGTGCTGGAAACGTCAGAGAGAGGGAAACAGACAGGCTGTGAGCTCCTCGGTGGAGCACCCTCCCCCAGCCTCACACTCAGTCCACCCTGACCGTTCAGGGAGAGCTCCCCATGCGCAGCTTTAAACACTGCGCACACGTTAGCAGCTCTCACGGCTCGCCGGGACGTGTATATGACCGTAGATGTTATTGTGCTCACTATCCCAGATGTTGTTCACACAGAGCCGTCCTGTTACCCGCCTCTGCTCTGTTGTACAGAGTAAACTGAGTTGAACCATCGGCATGAACTCAGTGACCCCAAACAGAAGCATTACATCCTCCAGAACAGTAGGCGGCAGTGCGGAGCGCGTAAAAGCCTCAGCTGAGCGCAGAGTAGCTGTTCGGCTTGCAGACCAGTATGGTGCACAGCGCGCCATGCCGTCTCCCATCCCGCTGACCCGCCTGCTGCCCAAAGACTTCTGCCCCTCTCTGGACACGGGGCCCTGCAGCAGCCCGCTGACCAAGCACGGCTCCACCTTACAAGTGCCCGCTCAGCGGCTCCATGGCAGAGTCGCCACTCGGCTTTGGTCCTCGGTTATCCACTGGAAGCAGCTGCGCTCCGTGCAGCCCGTGGGCTCGGGAGGCTTCGGCTCGGTCTACCAGGCGGAGTACTTCGGAGAGACCGTGGCGGTGAAGAAGGTCAACAGGTCCACCAAGAACAAGCTGGCGTCCCAGCAGAGCTTCTGGGCCGAGCTGAACGCGGCGCACCTGCGCCACGCCAACATAGTGCGCGTAATAGCCGCCACCACCTGCGTCCCGCCACAGCGTGGAGATGAAGGCAGCATCGGGGTAATTCTGATGGAGTTCGTGGGCAGAAGGAACCTCCAGCAGGTCATTTACGGCGGCACGGAGCCGCTGGGACGGGACAGGTGCGTCAGGTACTCCTCGGACATCGTTCACGGCCTGAGGTTTCTCCACTCCCACGGCGTCGTGCATCTGGACATTAAACCAGCTAACGTGCTGCTGACCAGCGAGGACGTGTGCAAAATCGCAGATTTCGGCTGTTCTCTCAAACTGGACCCCGGCTGTGAGGTCAGCGCCGCGAGCCACCAGCCACTCGTGGGTGGCACGTACACGCACAGAGCCCCGGAGCTGCTCCGAGGCGAGAGGGTGACTCCTAAAGCGGACATCTTTTCTTTCGGCATCACTCTGTGGCAGCTTCTCACCAGAGAGCCGCCCTACACCGGCGACAGGGAGCACGTCATCTACGCGGTGGTGGCTCACAATCTGCGGCCTCCTGTCCACGACCACCGGGCGTTCCGGTCGGAGCCGGGGCGGCTGTGTCGGGCTCTGCTGAGCCGCTGCTGGAACGGGACGCCCCCCTGCAGACCCAGCGCCCAGGAGCTGCTGTCGTCCCTGGAGCAGCTGCAGCCACAGACCTGATTTGATCTCCGAAGCTGCGCACGGGTGTGGACAGCTGTGCGTTTGAATATGTTCAGCTTCAGGAAACGAGCACTGTGCGCTCGGCCAGGTCAAAGCTGAGGGAACCACGGAAGTGCCTTTGAGACGCACATGAAACGCTGCGTCTGTGACTACATCATGTTTTTACTGCGCAAATAATAATAAGTGTGCAGAGTCCTCCGGTTGTAGCATTAAGCTGGTTTATTCTCCTTTCAGCTGTTTGTGTGTCAGGCCGTCCTGTGGGACCAGGACGCTGTTTCCTCCCAGACGTCCTGATGCATCTGTTTCCAAATGTTTCTTAAATGTGTTGTGAATCGTCGTGTGTGAAACGTGATATTTGGGTGTGATGGTTTCATTAAAAGTCTTTTTTATGCCACGTTTGTCTGCTGTTCACATCATTAGAGGGCAGCAGCTGGTCGGAGGCTCGGCCTCCACAGACTCCACCAAACTGTGGCCGCTGCTGCGTCTCATGGGAGGACACTTAGTGTTCAAGTAGTGCAAAACAGTGTTTGTTTACAGTTCAAATATTGTGTAGCAACACTAAACACATGGTCCTCTGTGACACGTGGCAGCACTGCTGCCGTCACGGTGTTCGTATTTAACCAAAAACTGCATCAGATTTGTTCACGTCAGCGTACGGAGGGGGGGCTGAGGTGGGCCGGAGCCCTGGACTGAACGGCCAATCACAGGTTTCTTTTCTCCTTATTTACCAATCCACCCCCGCCCCCCCCACACACAAACGTGCAGTGTGTGAGGAGGTTACCCACTGTCAGAGTTGTCGTCTTAATGTTTTCAGAGGTTTTTGTTGAGCCTCGTAATGATTTGCAGCTGTGCGCAGAAACAACGAGATTCTAATGAAAATGACCAAACTCAGACTTGTTCATGATAAAGTTTATTTGTACTCTGACGTTGTCATCGAGCTTGGGTCTGCCGTTCCTGTCCTCCATCACCACCCGGCGTCTAATCCAGCTGCTGTAGATCTCTTAAAGCTCACAAACTGAATAAATATACAGAGAAGAATGATTCCTGAATCCTGCCTTCATTTGGACAGCAGAGGGCGCTGCTGCTCATTTAACAGCAGATTAGACACCAGCTGTTCATTCACTGTAAAAATACAACTAAATACTACAAACTAACACTCAGTGTGAAGCTGTGTCACATGAGCGTCACAGGAACACGTTTCACAGACACACAAATGTTACACACTTCTACCACATCTGTAAGGAAAACATGTGTTAATGACGGCCTCAGATCGCACTGCAGAGACACACACAGGTAAACGCAGGTGTGCAGCGTTACAGTGAGGAGACTGCAGCTGTCCTCCAACATGGAGCTGGACCTGTACAAACTGCAGTTTCAGTTAAAGCAGCGACTCAAAGCAGGGACGTGATGTTCTGATGAAACACACAATAATACGAAGCAGCATCGTTGAACAATATAAATAAGCGGATACAGCAACAGGTCCACAGCATGAAGCTGTCCTCACACACAGTCCCTCAGTGAGAATCACTACAGTGGTTCCTCACCTGTAGCTACAAACAGACAGATCACATGATGGTGACCCTCTCAGGGGAAACGTGGGCCGCCGAGCCCACCGGCTCCATGCGCTTGCCCCTCATCTCACTGCTGTCCTGACCCCTGCGGATCTGGTGGAGCTTGCGGGCAACACAGGGGAGCAGGATCAGCAGCTTCCCGACGACGACGCACACCGGGAGCGCCAGGGCCACGACGAAGCTGGGGGGCAGGTAGAAGCGGTAGGCCTCCTCCTCAAAGGCGCGTTTCCAGCCAAACAGCAGCCCGTGGAAGGTGGCGATGAGCAGGGCGATGTACCCCAGAGTGGACTGCAGCAAAGACAGGAACACTGTCAGACACAGGCTTTGGATCAGATAACAGCACAACAGTGACTCACATTAGACACGCCCCTAACATCGAGACTACAGCAGAACATGTTTACACGTATGTAGTCTGTCATGTGACTGTCTAAGAGAGCGCCGAGCGTCTCGGTCACAGGACGTTTCCCCCAGTGTTCACAGCAGGAGAGCTGGGAGTGACGGCCCAACCTCAGAGTTCACAGCAGCTAAGCTGGTTTCAGGTACACTCGTCACAAGCCGCCATTACACACTACTGATCATGCATATAGACTAGACTGGACTCAGAATACTCTCTGAGGCACGTGACACGACGGGCTGGTGGACTCTGTGGGTACCTGTATGAAGCCGAATTCCCTCCAGTTGAGCGTGCTGTGGACAGACGGGATGGAGGTGACAGCCAGCAGAGACAGCAGCCCCAGACTCATGATGCCAAAGGAAACATACATCTCCACCCTCCACACCTCTTCCTCGTTCCACGTGCTTTCCATGTTCGAGTGGACCTGCCGTCACATGAGAACACGAGCCCGTCACAGTGATTACAGTTCATCAGGAGGAAGCCCTACCGCTGCAGCCAATCAGATTACAACGTTTCTGTTTACTCCACGAGCCTCCCATCGCTCCTCATGTGTCTAACACAGATGTTAGACAATGCTGACGTGAACACGTCTCTACTGTGACACAAACAGAAGTTAAAATCAGGCTGGCTGTAGCTCAGGAGCAGGAAGGTTGGTGGTTCAATCCCCGTCTGCCTAATATCCTTGGGCAAGATGCTACCCCCTATGATGCCTCCATGGGAGTGTGAATGTTAGACAGGA